AAAATTTCAAATCTCTCAATTCCTAAATCTAACCTAGAGGGTGGTGAGCAACAATGAGCAACTACACGGAGCACGATCATTGTGCAATCTAGGTGAATATTGCACATGCGACTATCGTGCAACTACTGCGCTACCCAAATGAACGTGTGTGACCCAAATGAGTGTAACATGACCATCGCGCGACCCAAGCGAGCATCGCGTCACCACCGCGCGACCAAGGGCAAGCACACGATGACGACCATCGACTATAATAAGCAACGATGAACAGTGGGAAGGAGCAAAATCTAAACTTGTGAAAAGAAATGATGAAAGTCGGAGAATATTCAAGTTTTTCTTTTTCTTCAAACTCGGTGACTCGCCTCTAATTCGCGATTTTATTTAGAGTCCACTGAGTTTGATTCCAAGTCTACTCTAAAATGAGTCTACTAACGAGTTAACTCGTACCCAATTATTTGACTTGTTAACTCATACGAGCCAGTGAATTGACTCACGAGTTTGATAACCATGATTACACATATTTTGTACAATATTAATAATTAATAATTTTATTGTATAATTAATAAACTTTCAATATGCTTTATTATTTATTTTTAATGAATTTTCTTTCCATAGTAATAAATTAGGTTTAATATATATATATATATATATATATATATATATATATATATATATATTTGCTTTGATTTTGTATTTTCAACTCATCTAACATTTGCTCATTGTTTTTAGCATTACTTTTTTAAAAAATATTATTTTTGATTAATTATAGTTGTATTGAATTCTACATTTTTAAGGCTTTGAAATAGGCATATGGTTTTTTGGATTTTGAGTTCTATACTATTTTCTATGAGTTTTAATAGTTGAAGAAGATTTCTTAAAATTTTGTAAAACAACTCATACAGATTAATTTTTCTTTGTATTATCTTAAACTTTTGTGATTGAGCTTATGTATATAATTAGGGCTCAGATTTAGGCTCATGTTTCCATCAAATTTCAAAGAATTTAAATAGTCTAGATGTGCTCTAAATTAAGACAAAAATCATTTTCCTAAATTTTTAGTTTGAAGAATTGTCTCTTGTAGACTCCAAATCTTGTCCGAACTCACAATAAAGTTCAAAAATCCTCTATTTTAAAGATGAACAAGACTTTATAGGGCCCTTAGTAATGTTCACTAGGCTTCATTTAAGAAAAAGAGAGTTTTCTTAGAAAATAAAAAATGAAATTTTGTCAGAAAGACTAGGATGACCGTCTCACCGACCCTCTTCAATAGCCTGGGACGGTCGTCCCAGATCCTAGATGGTCACTCCACCTTCCTTGGTGCCCTAGGATGGTTGTCCCAAATCCCAGACGACCGTCTCACCCTCTTTGGTGGTTTGGGACGGCCGTTCCAAATCCCAGACGACTGTCCCACCTGACAAAATCCGGGATGGCCGTCCCGGCCTCCTTGGTAAGCGAGCCTATAAATAGGATGTCAGTCCTCACTGTTTCACACATTCTCACACCTCTAGACACTGTTTTAGACTCCGAGTGATCATTCCGATTGAAAATTAGTTAAGGAAGTCTCATTTTGAGACATTCGACTCTCGGTAGTTTAAGTTTTTATTTGTTCGAGGGAGGAGTATTCGTGCAGTAGGAGGGGACTGCCAAAAAGCGTCCTCAAGTTTAAAAGATTTATAAAAACTCACTTCGAAGGTTCTTCTCAATCTCTTACTCTTTTATCGCTTTTCTTTGTGTGCATTAAGAATTAGAGTCATGTAGATATTTAAATAAATACTGTAAATAAATAAATAGGATAAAAGCGTAATTTCTAGAAGTCTTTATTTTCTGAATTAATCTATCATAAGGAACCCGAAAGAGGCGTTGTGGGATGCTAACACCTTTCCTATACGTAACTAACTCCCTTACCCAACTCTGATTATAATGACCAAAGTTGGTTTTCTTAAACCAACACCTTTTTTTTTTATCCTTTTTCAATGTTTCTGGTTAAAATATTGGTGACGAATCCATATAACCCATTTTGCGAAAACCTCACTTTTAAGGTTAGTTCGGTTATCGAACATCCTAAAAGTGATGACCAAATTATTTTACGAAAATGAGAGTTTCAGCCATTGCGTCGTGACCGCTTGCACTTTGCATCTCCCTCCGTGGGGGACGACGACAACATCTCTTCCTCTTCTCTTTTATATTAATTTCATTTTTTTACTTTTCTTTTTCTCCTATCTTCTTCTCTAAAATTTGTTTGGTATTCTTCATTCTTGAAGAACTAAATTTTGAGGACCAATTCACGTAATCTAGATCAAACAAATCGAATTGTCATTTATCGCTTCGAGATTATTTTTCTCTTCTCTAATATCGATTTTGCTCTTTGTGTCCGCAAATTGCATTCTTTTATTTTATAATAAAATTAGGAATTAATATAATAATTAAATATAAATTATATTGAATGATAATTTGATTTAATTTGTATAATCAGTTTAATTTATTAATTGAATAATTTAATTGTTCAAACTTAGATCTAAATCTTTAGAAAATTATGATAAGAGGATTGTTTGATTCTTGAATCTATGGATTGATCTATTTTTATCTTCTTGATTGTGTTTTTTTTTTTCAAATTGAGTTTTACATTTCCAAATCCATAAAAACACAAATCAACTTATACAAAACTAATATTAAAAACTAAATATAATCAATGTGTCTTTCAGATAATCAACCTAATTTTGGGTTCTATATTACAACATTTTAGAAAATAATTAGAATATTTGATTTAATAATGAAGGACAATGAATTTCAAGGGTTTACCTTCATGCCATCTAGTCAATCATGGGGCGTTCATCTATACAACGATCAAGGAGAACGAGATGAAAACAACTAAGTTAACTCAAATTGAGAAGAAGATTATTGGCCTTTTGGAAAGGTTGAGAAAGTCAAGAAGGTAGTTAGGGAGTCTACTTCTAAAATTGCTAAGGCTTAACATTGTGCTGATGAAGTCGAGAACAAAATTAATGCTTTCAAGGCTAAGGGTAGTGAGTTTTTAACAGAAGATGAAGAAATAAAGTATCAAGCTCCATGAGGAGTAATTTATTGAAGTTTATGAAGAAAACTTCAAGAAGACGGTCAACCAAGCCTAGGTCATTAGCCCCGATATAAATGTAAGGACTTTTTGTAGCTTTCCACCTCAGTAATTATTAACCTATTTCATAGTTGGACATTTATTTCCTTTAATATTTCTTTTTTTTTTTTATGACTTCTGATTGATATGACCAAGCTACTTACTCAGGTGATAAATAATAACAAGATAAGTTTAACCATTTAAACAAGCTTCATGCTTTTGAAAAAAAATTATAATAAGCTAAGTTTAACCATCTTGATTAAACCTATTATTTGAGCTTCTTATTTAAATGAGTAAACACTTAAATAAGCTAAGTTTAAAATTATAGATTAAACTATTTGGTTAACGACATGTTAAAATACTAGTTTACTTCATGATATAGTCTAGTATCGATGATTTGTGAAGATGCTAGTTTGCTTTTCAACATTATTTTATGTCGACAACACATTGATTTTCTCTACAACATAGTCTAATGCGATAATATATTGAGGTTCCAATTTTTTCTATAACATGATCTCATGTTGTCGATACATGACATTATCTAATCTCAACAATATATTAAGATATTGATTTTGTTTTCTACCATATAGTTTAGTGTCGACAATGCATTAAGATACCAATTTTCTCTATAACATAGTTTAATATTAGCTATGTGTGAAGATGTTGATTTTCGTTTGATGGAAAACTTGAATTAATATTTAGATAACTTGTTTTCTTAATTGTAATACACTTTTAAGTGTGTTGTATTTAAGGTTTTAGGAATAAACTTTCCACATAATTTTCTAACTTGTCCACACCATTTTGTAATAAATAAACTATTATGTAAGGGTTGTTCTAGTTTGAAATTACCACTTTAAAATAAGTTGTTAAACATGAAGGTTAATAAGTACAACTTTTAACCTTTTAATATGAAATTCTATGAGGTTGTAAAAGAAGGAGGCATACTCTCCCTTATTTTCGAATAATTAAGTTTATTCTTATTAAATATTAATATTAAATAATATTTACTCATTTAAATATATTAAATTTTAAAAATTTTATATGATTTTGCTTAACTTATTTAATACCTAAATAAAAGTTATAACACATTGAAAATAATATTCTATAATAACAATTTATCAATATTATCAAATACCTGAAATGATAAATCATGGTATAAATTAGACATGTATATTACTTAATTAATCGAATCAATTTTTTAATATCAAAATTATGATAATAAAAATTTAAAATTAATGATTTATTTAAATTTTATTTTATATTTATTATATATATATATATTTATTATTGTATATATATTTATAATTTCTAAAATAAAAAATATATTATTATATACTAAAACTACATTTATTTGTTAAAAAATTCTAATAAATAGTTATAATTAAACTTGTTTTTTCAATTTTAGTTTTTAAATAATTTTTTATAATAATCAAACAAGTTTTTTGTTTAGTTATAAAAAGTTATAAATTTTTTCTATCTTAATTATTTAAAATTGATTACTAAAAAAATATAACTTTTTAAAAGATTAAAATATAAAATTAAATTAAACAAATCTTTAATAGATTGGGATGAAAACATACACAATATAGATAACATAAATATTTTAATTTTAAAACCAAATACTAAAACCGAAAATTTCGAATTTTTAGTGTTAGGAAACATGTTTAATATTTAATTGTATTATTTTCATTCATAATTTTTTTTTCCTAATTCTTCCTTGAATTTTGATATAGAAATATTCAAAATAAAACTTCTCTCTTTAATTAATATCAACGTGTATTCCACGTGGCTCCCACAATATCTTCCTGTGTGTGAGATTTCAGTTCTGAACCGCCAATTCTTTCAAGTTCACTCCCTCCACAGACTCCATGGAACGCAATCATCGCCACCACCCATGCCCATGGCAACCACCCTCGTTATTCCCAACCCCTTCACCACTATACTCCCTCGCTCGCGCTTCTCTCACCGGCGGTTCACCTGCTCCTCCGTCACGGCTCAATCCCGATCCGCCAAGGATAACCTCCTCGCCCTCATAGCCGACCAGGACCGCGGCCTCCGGACGCAGAACGACCCCGCGAAACGCGCATCGATTGTCGAAGCCATCGACGCCGTGGCCGCCGTGGGTGCCGGCTCCGTCACCACCGGCGATTCCCTGTCGGCGACGTGGCGGCTGCTATGGACGACGGAGAAGGAGCAGCTCTTCATTATCCAGAAGGCGCCCTTGTTTGGAACCCGAACTGGCGACGTGTTGCAGGTCATAGATGTTCGGAATAGGACGCTCAACAACGTCATCACGTTTCCCCCTGATGGCGTTTTCTTTGTTCGATCCAGTATTGAGGTTGCGTCGCCGCAGAGAGTGAATTTCAGGTGAATAATTGGACTTAACAATAATAATAACAATATTTGATTTTGGTGTCATACACCATTGCATATGGATAAGGTTGGAGTATGTTATTGATTTGGAAGAATGAGGGAACTCTGTCACTTTGTCTCATACAATTATCAATCATGAATAGTTGAATTCTGCCAGCAGGAAGTCAAGCACTGTTGATATATTTTCGACCTCTTTCTTCTACTCTTGAAATGTGATACTTTCATGAAAAGTATCAAGTAGAGAGAATCTTCTCACTATTCTCTTCCCTAGGGATTTCTGAGCAATTGGCCTTGGTTGGTTCAAAAAAGAGAGGACGAGGAAGAAAAACATATTTCGTTTGGTCCTCACTTCATAGGTGAGGAGTAGACAAGACTAATATCCAGAATATCCTTCCTTATTATTAGTAATGGAGAGGATGACCGAGAACATAAATCTTAGAATGATTTTGTCGGCATACAATTAACCACTTTCCATTTCCTTTGAATCCCTCCAGACATTAGTGGGGAGGGATTTTGTCCCTCCAATTTCCCCTCCTAATGAAAGAGGTCTAATTCCCCTCCCCTTCTCCCTTCTTATACCCTCCAGCCAAAAACTGCTAAAAACCTACTATCCTAGTTTGATTGATTGATTGTTTATTTTTTCATTTTATAGTGAGTTATTGATTGTGGTTAAGTTCTCTAGCATTACTCAACTTTTATATTGTTAAAACATAATATGAATAACTTATGAAGCACTATATTTCTATAACTCATACTCCTATTCAACGAATAATAATATCAATAATAAATAAGATTATTATAACAATATATTTAGTTGCAGGAAAGATGTATATGAAAAATGGAATTGACAAAACATCATTGTAGTAACTTATTTGCCTTTGAGTTGGCTGTTGACATTGTTTTGGAGTAGTACCATCTCCGTTTACCTGTTCAGTTGGTTCTCTGCTATCAAGTTCCTAAATCTTGGATCACTTTTTGTTTGTTATACTTTGATTCACCCATCTTAATTTTCAATGACAGTGATGAGCCATTCACTTGGTCAAGCATCCACCAAAAGCACAGACTTTCTTGCACCCAATTTCATATTCTTTCTCTCCTCTCACTTTATTTTGTGACTAGGGGAGTGTGATTTAGTATGTCAGCTAAGCCTATCACCTCATTGCTACAGCTATCATCTCGGACATGTTAGATCTGTTACTGTATGAAATTGTGCATCCTCTGGAGCTCAAATCTGCCACCACATGCCTCCTGCTGTAAGCTGACCAGCCTTATTCTTTTGTGTCACGGGGTGTAAAATGGGGTGTTTGGTTAACAACTTGTCTGCACGAATCTTCATGATAGGTCACCTGTCCTACTTACTAGCTACCCTTTACGTCCTCTCCCCTTCAGTGGCCGCAGTCTTGTCTCTGTATGTCATGTTTTTGTAGTGTGCATAGGAGTCTGTGAGGCCTTCTTTCCAACCACTTCTTCTGTGTCATGCCTCATTGCCCCATCTCTGTTAGGAATCAACCTCTGTTGACATTGTTCACCATCCCATTATTACTGTTTAGTTGCCTCAATCCTCGTTATGCAGTGTTTAATGTCCAAATTTGGTATGCTATATTTGAGTTGTTTTTAGTTGGATCAGTTTCTTTATTGCCATTCTATAGTGGTTATCTCGGATTGTTTCTGTCTTTCCCACTGTCGACATATACTAGTTGTAATTTCTTCCCTTCAGCAATCTTTCAAGATGTTTTCCTTCAAGGCTTTGTATAGGCGTGATCCTCCATGAATTGTGATTTTTAATAAGTGTGAGATGGCATTTGAGGAGTTGGATTGAATGTTGATCCATTAAGATGCAGTTTTAAAGGAATTAAAAGAAAATATGAAAGGTTTAGAAGAGGGTGAAGACGCAGAATGATTGGCAAAGGAGGATTGTCTACTTGGTGACTATGTTTACCTCAATCTAAGACCCATATAATTAATCTCACTAAGAGGATCAATCTATAGCTTAGTAGCCATTTTCATGGTCCTTTTATGGCGGTTCATAGAATTGGGCAGTAGCTTATGATGTGGCTTTAGATAGTTCAGGCATTTAACTTGTATCTCAGATATCTTCTAAAAAATGTTGTTCAAGCTGTTTTTCCATGTCATCAACTTCCTGTTGTCTGCATTGAAGAGTTGGAATTTCATAGTCAACTGGAGGCAGTTTAAGCGTCCAAAAGACTTCTAAATGAATCTGTTCAAGTTTTAATTAAATGGGTTGATCTTCTTTTCTGGATCATGAGAACTCTTGGGGAGAGTTTTCCAACATTCAACAATTTCCTTCTTTCCGCCTTGAGGATATAGTGGTTTTCATTGGAGGGTTATTGATGCACACCGAACCCAAGCATATGGAAGAAAGAAGTATGGGCTCAAAATGGGCCTAGCATAGTAGAAGGGTTCATTCAAGTCAGAAGATACAAGGACAAAAGACAATTCTGTTTTACAAGTAGACAGCTGGCAGGTTGTGAATCGGGAGAATATATGGAGAATGAGTACAAGAGGAAAATATATTTATTGTTAATATGTCAACTATTTGTCAGCAGAGGACTCAAACCACGACCTATCCCATCCTCCCTTTAACTCTGTTCTATTTTTATCACTAGTCCAACCTCTCCCCCTTCCTCATCATGTCAACGTCATATTTTATTATTTAAAGTCTCTTATTCTCCTGTCAAAATTGTAGATAGTATTTTAGATGCACAACATAATACTTAGAATATACATAACCGAAAGTGTAAACTTGACCGACTACTTAATGAGTTTAAATTAAATTTCTAATGTTTACACAAGAAATATTTAAATTCTTTTGAAGACTGACATTTGTTGTTTAGATTTACAAGTGCAGTATTACGTGGAAGAAACTGGGAAATACCATTGCCACCATTTGGACAGGGTTGGTAAGTACTTTAAGTTTAATATGTAGCTGAAAACTTTGGCTCAATTATTTGGGAATATGTCTGGTATGCATTCTCATATGGTAGCTTTACATGATAATCAATGATTTCAAAGCTCATTCTTCCTCATCTTTTGAATCTTCAAACTTAATGGTTTGTTTGATAGAGAAGAAACTAAATTCAAGTTTTGAAAATGTGGACAAAAATTATTGTTAGCTTGCCTGGTTAGAGGATTTCTAGGAATAACTTGCAATGATGACACTGAAGTGTTTGTAGTTTAGGGGTAACAAATGCTTTTTTGTATAGAATTTTAGTTAAAATGAATTATAATTTTACTATTAACATACATTTTATAATTTCTTTACATATCTTTGTTTATGAATGTATTTCATATTAGAACAATTAAGAAAATATCCACATAAAGTATAAATATCTACAAATTCTAAAAAGTACGAATTTATAATTCTTCATACTTTATCCTATCGTTCTACGCTGTTTCTCTTTGTATTCACTCTTTGGCTCGGCTAGTGTGTCGTTAGTTTGATTTTGGTGGGATATTGGTGGCTCGGCTGAGATTTGGATGTCGTGACACGGTTAAGGTCAGGGCATAATCTATGCAACATTGTTTTTTTTAAGTCGATGCTCTGGTCTTCAATATATATATATATATATATATATATATATATATGTATATATATATATACATATATATATATACATATATATATATATATATATATTTTTTTTTTAATTTCAAATGGAGAACTTTTGGTCAACTTTGACTAGACTTGTCTGGTCAACGTGACTTAGTAGAATGTTTTAGTTCACATCAATTAAAAAGTCGACCAAAAAACTCTGAACAATGATGACTAAAAATAACTATGATTGATGTCAATCGAAACAATTATTGTCAGTATTATTTGAAAATAATCTTAGTCGATGTCGATGGAAAAAACTCGTATTAACATTAGTTGAAAAAATGTTGTGAACTTTTGTCAAAAAGAAACTCAACAAATAGAGTAACAAATTAATATTTTTTAATTATTACATTATATAAATTTTGTATTTGGTGGTAATTGAAATATGCTATCCCAACAAGACAACTAAAATTCAATAAATTTAAATTGTTTATCAAAACAAAAATGTTTACAAAATGAGATGATTTAAAATAAAAGTAATTCAAATTCAGGATATTTGAATTTCTGGAAATTATGAAATTTTCAATTCAAACACATGGTAAATTTTTTTTAATTTCATTTATTAATTTTATAAATAATTTTAAAAAATGAAACTTAATTTGCTATATATTCCCATTAAAAGATTAGTAAAGGAAGTGTTAAAAATCACAAAATGAAGACAAGTATGGATTTTACTTTTTGTCGTTTCATTTCAAAGTATTTGAAAATAAGAAACCGAATAGAAAACATTCCTTAGTGCATATAGGGCATTTTACCTATGTTATTTTTACTTGTTATTTTGACTTTTTATGTCTTTTGTAAGTTTGATATTAATATAAGAGACGTAAATATATGTTGGACATACGAATCAGCGTCAATTTATATCAATTAGGTGGATAATTAATGTCGGAAAAAACAAGAAATAAACGGAAATGAGTTTTGAAAATTAAAAAATGGGATGAAATTTATGTCGGTGTGTCAATACCCAATGTAAATTTGTGTCGAACATACGTAAATTTTGTCATTTTTTTTAATATTTGGTTTGTTTTGTCGTACATTCAAAACCTGCAAATATATTTTTATCATATATAGTCTAAATTCCAGATTTTTAATAATTCAAATATAACACTACAATACAAAATATTATAATACAATATAATACAAACTGTAAAAGCTAAACTAGTACAAAGACTAAACTACATAAAAGTAAAATATTACAAAGTTAAACTAATACAAAGAATAAACTAGTACAAAAACTAAGCTACCTAGATATTAAACTACATAATACAATATAATACAAACTATAACCTACAATCTAAGTATTGTAAATGTCGAATGAAAAACTTTATCCATTGCTATCTAATTTGTGTAATATCACTTTGGTGTCCCATTGTATTTGAGATCCATTTCTTGCTTTTAAACTGAACAATCTTAAAGTTACTATAATCTTGCAAAACTGCATCTTGGGTACAATTGTTGCTCAAATCAAATTTTAAATAATCATACAAATGTGTTTTCTCAACATTTTCTTCATCAATATCACTATCATATTCTCTAAATTATCATTCATTCATTCTTCAAAATTTATTATTGTTGACATAATTAGGATGTCTAATATTTCTCCATGTCATGTCCATATTGTGTAATTCTTAACAATACCATACCATAGATAAATAAGTGATCATATATATCCCTAAGTTGATGACGAATTCAATTCAAATAACGAACGCATGGAAAATAATATATCTCTTTGATAAATTTTCTATTTTTACAAACCAATTTCAAAAATTTCTCAACTCTTTTTTTGTACTCTTCACTAATACGACATGCATTCATTTAACTCCGATCCATACTTACCTATATTAAAAATTTCTGTCATTCCTAGAAATTCAAACACAAATTCATATTAAAAGAAAATTAATATAAAAAAAATGTAGAATTCAAACAACTAAATTATGAAAACATAAAAAATGCAGTGTGTGAACGATAAATGTACTCAAATGAATAAATAGATAATCATAAACTACAAAAATTTAATTTTAATAACAATCCAGTTGAGACATTTATGCAATAATGTGATTGAGATCTTCAAAAACAATTGCATATTCAATTTGAACATAAAAGAGATAAACGTCAACCACCATAAATGAGACACAATATAGGTGTTTTTGTCACTTACCGTAGTTGAAATGTACCCTGAAAGGAACTAGAATGGTTGTTGTTGTCGCCATAACTTGAAAACTTGCACGTGCAAGGAAGAAGTTCTCGGTGAAAATAATGCGATTTTTATATCGGACCTTGTGATGTCCACCGTAAAAGTGCATCTATTATTTATAAAAATATTATATAAATTGAATATTTTTGGGTCGGACGAGAAATAAGTGATGTAAAAATCTCTTTTTGAGCTAGTGATTTTCTTTAAGCTAAGCAAGTCCTGAACCTCTCCATCAATTTCTTTTACCGTTTCCATTAGACACCACCCGATTTTCTACCTTTCCTAGCAAGCATGCCTTAACCCTCTAGCGTTTCCAATTCATAACCGGATTTTATTGATCACAATTCTTGAGTTAACCAGAATCTAAGGTTCAAAATGGATAACACAGGCTGCTGCCTCTTAACAAGGTGTACACTCCTTCAACACTGCAGAACAATGAAAAAAAGACCCCACTAATTGATCTCCTTTCCTAGATGTATATTCTACAATTACTGTGACTTGTGTATATTATCACTGCCTATGTCTGTCGATGCTAAGCAATAAGTGTCAACTGTGTGTATTTATATTGATAATTGTTGGAGATCACGTATTGTCTAGACATATAACTAAAATAGAGGATATAAGTGGATGTAAATCTTACCTACAAATCGGTTTTATCAATGAGGAATATGTTATATTGAAGATCTCACATCTTGTATATATGACCAAAATAGTATCTACTCTAGCAATATTTGGTGGGACTACTAGGTCATCCGCCATTGGATCACCTGCAACATTCTAATCCTAGAGACAAGATCTGTAGTCCTTTGGTGTGAGGTGTGTTAGATACACATCTCACTTAACATGTCAGTTTTGTGATATTGAATTAAACTAAAAGTACACTCTCTAACAATAACAATAAATGCCTATCGAAAATCACAATTGTCTCGTAGTCTTCATTTTTTTCTAGCATAAAATTTCAGTCGCCTATCACACACGGACCATGATACAATTTACAAGCCTAATAACTAACTAAGCTTTAAGCCTGTCAGAAGTTAGCCTTTACTCTTCTGTTTAATTGAAAGGATGGTAAGTAGAGGAATGAAAAATGAAAGAAACAAAGAGAGAGAGAGAGAGAGAGAGAGAGAGAGAGAGAGAGAGAGAGAGAGAGAGAACGAGGGAAGAAATAATTTTACTAATTATTAATTATTATTTTTATGCTATTATTTATTATTATTATTATTGTAATAATATAAATGTAAATATTAGTAAAATATTTATGACTTTATATATTTTAGGCATGATCAACTATGTGTCGTTAATATTAATAAAATTATGAATGATATAAGATAATGTAAATAGTATTAATATATTAGTGATATGATCGATTTATGTTTAAGATATAATCAATTATATTTTTGCCTTTCTCGTCATATATGCAAGAAACTAGAAAACGATTTTATATATTTTAGAAACTTTCACATGTACCAAATAGCATAGGCTAGCCACTTTCTTGACAAATCTGCGCCCTCACAATCCGTGCCTTGTTCCAGACACGCCATAAAAGAGAAATAAACTAAAACATAGTTGTAAAGGAAACACCGATTAATTAGAGCAGAAAAGGACCATAGAACACTGTTGAAGTCTGGCAGAAGAGGTACACCACAAGAAAAGGATCTGAAAAATGCTTAATCTAATGGAAGAGAACACTGTCAGATGGAGGACGTCGTGTCTCGTGACTGGTAACTGTATAATGACTGAGAATTGAGGGCTAGAATGCTTTCGAGGGTGGCAGTAGCTGGAGTATAGAATATCAGAGGATGTACGTATGTATACACTCAAGTCATATAATTAGCAATTCACCCCCGCACATGGTATGGGTATGTGACCTTACAATGAGTTGGTACGTGGGGATTTTTTAATTTATAATAAGATATATAAATTATTATACTGTTAATAATTTGGTTATCTCCTTTTTATGTGACTTTATATTGTCTCACTTTCATTAAGAGAGTGTTAGACATAATAACATGGTGATTTATACAAATAATTAAACCCTTTAACACATCTTTTCTTGAAAAAAAAAAGAATAATAATTTTATCTTGGTTTCTTCGGAAAAAGAAAACATCATTTTGTCTGCATCATTTCCAATCTTCTTTAATTTGTTTTACTCTCCAAGCCAAATTTCACATCTTTATCTCCTCTCTTGCTTTAAAGTTCGTTGATGAGTTTTGACAATTTTCAAGTACTTACTATAATGTGTACTAGTTCATTACTTTAATGAATTGCACGACAAATTTAGGTGAACTGTTACGGAAATGAACCACAAATTGGAATGCAGGAATCAATTCGTGGTTCTTTACTACATACCTTGGAATATGTTTCCATGTTCTTGATACAATTTACTAGGCTAAGGATAAACGAATGCTATTTCCTAGACACTGAATAACCTGTGACACTAGCTGTTGTAAGCTAGCTGGTAATGGACAACCAAAAACTTGAATATTCTACTAAACCTCGAATACTACTTGATGTGTGACTAAGGCATCTCATTTTGCCCAAGTTCCAATGACAGAAATTTGTAAAGGAGAAAGGCACATTTTTCTTACAGCCCCTTGTTTTATATATTTCTGTCATTATTTTACGGGGTAAAATGGAATCTTGACAAGTTTATTATAATCATAATCTGTATCTTGTTTCTGCAGGTTTGATACTGTGTACCTCGATGATGACCTTCGAGTTGTAAAGGATATCAGGGGAGACTATTTAGTAGTTGACCGAGCTTCCTATAACTGGAAAGAATGAATGGAATCTTCCTTGTCATTGTTAGCACATTTTCATTGATGAAAATTTCCAACTCAAACATCCGATGGTATCAGTGCAGTCTTGATGCTTATTTCTTTTGGCTGTTGAAATATGGAGTAGTTGATGTCGTATAGGAATATCAAATAATTTTCATTGTTTGATGTTTACTGAATATATGTCTGCAAAAGAAGGTTTTGAATTGCATACACCTTGAAGCATTATTGTTCGTGGCACCGGTGGCTGATCGCACAACCATTCTCTCTTTATTTTATTCTCAAGACACGGTCAAACCAGGAGGAGCTCATAAACACAGAGCTCTGTAACTTCTAATTAAAAGATAGGACAAATTACATATATGAAGTATTTTTTATGGTTAAGTATGTTGTTACCTCTGAGAGTAAATATGAAACATTATACATTCAGTTTTCTAATACAACTTGGAAAAAAGGGGTGAGTTAACCAAGTCATCAATAACGAATCACAATTTCTCGTTTCCAACCCATATTGAATTGAATGTTTAGTTGGATTTATAGATTATCAAGGAAAATTCCTTGCAAACAGTTCCTTTTAATAACGAGGGAAATATTTGATTTTATACCAGTGTTGTACTTTAGAATTAGGTAAACTGATTTGGCTCCAAATGTCCAATGTTTTTGTTAATGTTTTAGGATGAAAATAATGGACAGACGAAGGAAGAGGAAAGAAGTAAGAAAATATGAGTGATTTGGTAGAGTTAAACTTAAAAACATAAATAAATAGTGGGAGCCAGTTAAAGAAATATGTTATGTGTTCAGGATGAAATGTATAGAAATGAAAAGTACTACTGATTTTTGTTTTCCTCTCCCTACCCTGCAGCATTCTACCCCATTCCTATATTATTTTGTATTATTATTATAAAAATAATTAATAGAAATAATATTAGTACATAATTATATAATTATTTTAAACTACAAAAATCTAAAAAACTATTTTTTTATTCTACTTCTCTTTAATCAAATAGCTTATACTTTTATTTTATTAATTTTTTTCAGCCAAACAATCTTCATTTCTTTTATCTTCCACTCACATTTTCCTCATCTATTTCTGTTTCCTTTTTCAAACATACCCTGTGCCCACATCTCAAAAAATCATGCTTATGCTCTGTTGAAGTTTTTTTTGTTATTTGGAATAAGTTATTTAATCTTCTTTGGAATGTATAACTATCTATTGGGTTTATCCCATTTAAAGTAAAATTACTTTTACTACTTATAAACAGTGCTCTGAAAAAAAAAAAAGATTCCTCTTCCTCATCATCATCTTCGTTTTCCTTTGTTCTGGTTCCAATTATTTTCCTTGAATAGTATTTTAATTTTGTCATCCAGACTTAAAATACTCATTTGAATAATAATTTTATCTTCTTCTTTTTTTCAAAATTATTTAATCTTCGACCTTTATTCGTATTTGGCAAGTTGGGCCTGATTATGATGCTGCTCCTTTAGAATTGCTTTGTTCATTTTTCTTAGTCCAAAGTATTCTTCTTAAACTCTCCAATTAAAATAAAGTATCTCAAACAACCTTCATTTTGTAATATATTTTCTATAATCCAAAATATCTATGTTTTTTTATGTTATTATGAAATACGATTTTGTAAATGAATACATTCCAAAAGAAAGAAAGAAAATCTAGCATATCCATTCTGTTATACAACAATATATACCTTATTTTGAAATGGTTATTTCATAATATAATGCATACATTCTAAAAATACGCATTGTGAAAATTAAAAGAAACCATTCCAGAACAAATAGTAAAAAATATAAATAATACGCACTTGATTTCGAATAGTTATTCCGGCAACAAACTTTTATCAATGAATTCGTTAATCCGAAAACAACCTTTTTCACAAAACGTTTTCCAAAATTCATAAAATTATTTGGTGATCCCAAAAGATTTTAGAAGAAGACAAAAGTTACAAGAAAGGCTATGAAAAATGGTGTGGGAAAACATTTACAGGTTGAAGGAAGTTTTAGGCTACACTAATTTGAACCATAATATGGTAGATTTTAATTAATGTTAATATAAATTATTCAAAATAATATATATATATATATATATATATATATATATATATTAAATAAAATTGAAAATTTTTTACATGTTTTTTTTTATTTGTAGGAATTAATTACAAGGTATATAACTCAACCCACTTATTTAACTGAGTTTTACTCCCAACCACTCAATGTTTTAGTTCCATATGGTACACTTTTAGAAACCAAAAATTTCATTAATAATAAAAAAAACTTGCATGTCACGTTCCATGGTCGTCTGAATTCAAACCATGCAGTTGTAGAGCACATGCAATGCAATGTTATTTAATATCACATACATATATAGTATGCCAATCTTTCTTTTTCTAATTTGGACGATATGTGGCGTTATTTAAAATGGAACAATGCATAAATTAAGAATAATAATTAGTATATATATATGTTTTTTTAACAGTCAAACTCCCACAATAAACACATTAATATTGCATATACTGTTGTATAATTGTGATATATAGTTAAATAATGAACAGACATATATAATTAAAAATTCATTAAAATTAAGATAATTTATGTGAGTTAAAATTATAAATATTAACTAATTTTGACACAAGAATGGTGAACATCTTATATAAGAAGCTGCATATTCTCCCTTGTTGTGAAATTAATCAGAGATTTTAGTTTTTAATTATGCATAGTGATAGTTTTGTTTGTATATGTTAGCATGAAACATTGTATGTGGAGTTTCTTTTTCTGTATTTTTAATGTTTGATTTGATGTGAGTGGTGGATTATGGACAAATTTTTGATAGTTGACCAATTGGATTAGGGTCAGCGTGACGTTTGGAGTCTCATTCTGTCCCCCACACTAACATGATAAAGCAGACACAACAACTGCATCAGCAACCATTAGAACACCAAATAGGGTTTGGATTATGTTGTGATTGTGCACTTAGTGACCATCACGTGTGCCATTTTACTCTATCATCACACTTTTTCACACCCTTTTTGCATTTTCCTAATCTTCATCCATCCTTGACCATCTTCATTTGGTAACTCTTGTTTTGAAATATGTTGGGTATTTTGTTTGGGTGTTTGAATGAAACGTGTCTTAGTAGGCGTTTGAAACGAGAGAACGTGAGTTACAGATACTGGGTGGCTTAGAGGTTTCTTTATGGTCATTATTGGTGTTCCTCCCTCGGTGGCTTAACTGCACATTCACAGTGATTCAGTGGATTATTATTGTTGAGCACCAGTTTATTGGGAACAACATGTAACACACAACACCATCTTCTTCTTTGTACGTCATATCACTTTCCTTCAACATCTTCCCCCAAAATCCTGTGGGCCCCACCCACTGCCTCTGCCTCACTCTCACATGATATGGGCCCCACCTTCTTAATCCAACGACCCATATCAAAATCACTCTCAAAATTATCTCAATTCCTACACTATGACAAATCAATTATAAAAAAAAATGAAGATATTAAATAGATTTTTTTTTTTCATTTGTACCACTTTTCAGTTTATCCAAATTATTTTACTTTTCAATCATTTAAATGAATTCCTTTGGCACCAAAATCTTCACAAGAAGTTAAAAGCTATATACCCTAAAGTGTTGTGTAGGTCAAACGTGGTGGTGATATTTATGAAGAATTTGCAATGGTGGTGGTTGTACGGTGTCCAATACCCTTTTTAAGGTGCATGGAGATTTGTAGGCTGCTGGGGTTGTGGCCACATTGTGGAGATTGTGAAGGAAAGTTGTGTAGGAGGGGGATGAGGCCAATGGAAAGGTACCCTTCTGTAGGGACTTCCATGGGCCATGCATGGCTTTGAATGATTTCTCGTGGGGTTCCATTCCTTCACCACCTTTCATTCATGGCCCCAGTTTTAAAGGGGTATGCAATTTTTCAAGGTGACAGAAAGTGTCCTTACGTTCCACCTTCAACACACAAAGTGTGGGGCTCTCTGTGCTTTGCCTCTTTGCTTTCACCACCACCCCAACCTATGTCGCCTAGTTTGGATCCGGACAAGGTTGTTGCTTCTACTTTAGGAGATAACTTGGTATCAAATTTATTAATGCTTCCCATTCATTTATTTTCTTAGAATATTTCTTTTCTTTTCTTTTCATTTGGCACTCATATTTATAGAATCTTATTAAATTCTTTTGACTGTCCACGCATTTATGAATTACTGTTTCAATTTCTTGAACACTGTCCCCACGCATTTTCTCACATCGATGCATACAATTATGTCTATACTTTAGGGTTAAAAAATTTAACACTCCACGTATTATTATCTTTTTGTTTTACATTCTATATATACAAATTTAAGAAAAATGTATTCAATAGTTCAGGTTTGTAATACAAATTGACTATTTTAACAAAGCACAATACTTTCTTATCAGTAAAAAAAAAAAAACTTTATTGTAAATTGTACCGATAGTACTCTGTTTGGTACAACGGAAAATGTATGCAGTGAGGAGAGAAAGAAACAAAAGGTGAAGAAGACCATCATGCAATAGCGATTGAAGAAGCTCTTTCTTCTTCACCTTACCCCATCCATCACTGCAGCATAGTAAAAGTTAAAACACGTGCTTCAAAGATAAAAAACCAACGCTGTCTGCCTCAGTAATCTCCCACCACAAATTTATGCGGTAGGATTAGACACTTAAACTTGGTTCTACGTCGGAATTTGTCCACTTTGTCTCATTCTCCTCATATACAGGCTATAATTAAACTTGTAGGAGGAAGGGTTTCCAAATGTTTTTCTTTTTAATTCTCTAAAAAATATATTTTATCTTTCTCTTCAACTTATTTTAATTTGATTTTGACTCCAATAAAAGATTATTCATTCTTTCTGTTATCAATTACGAAAATTAAGTTTGTATATATATACAATCTTTTTCTAATAGATTTTGTTGTGCTTCCAATAAAAGGAATATAGTTAGACAACAATTGCAATATCAAATAAAATAATTAGTCATAAATTTGCTTTTTTGTAAAAATAGCTTGATAATGATTAGGATTCTTATGAAACTCTATTATCGACGACACCATTCTTTGATATCTCCATAAGCTAAGAGACATATGCTTCGGACTCCATTTGTGATAAATAGAATTAAATGTTTTGGAATATATGTATCTGCCAATTGTTTAGACGATGAGATTGAGAGCAAATATAACTTTTTTTTTTCTTTTAGTTTTTTTTCTTACAGTGTAATTATCCATTTTTATGTATTTTATGTGTTCATGGTATTGGCATTAGTGTAAGAAAAACTTCCAAATGACAGATTATTTTATATTTTTTAATGTCAGTTTTATAATAAGTTTTGTGTTATTTTTTTTAATATATTGTCATATTTCATATAAATATTTTATTAAACAATTTTAATACGATAAATTTTGAAAATCCGTAAACGAAAAATAATTAAATATATAATGTAAATATATTCACATAAATTAGATGAAAAATGATTCATAAAAGAAAAATAATTCATAATAACAATTACAATCTAATATATATTAGAACATTTCATAAAATAAAATCATGAAATATAAATTAATATAAAAAAAATGAGACAATATTTTCTTATTTTATCTTTATTGTAAATGAGGAAGAAGCAAAATAATAAAAAGTGGTGGTATGAGAAAATTAAAAGTAGATGAATGTGACAAAGAAATAATGAAACAAAAAAAAAGAAAAAGTTGAGTGGAGTGCTCTCATATGTAAGGAAAAAAATGAAGAGGATAAAAATGAATTTAAAAAATTTCAAACTGGACACTTTTTTTTTATGAAGGTTCAATTTTGAATCATTATAGTAAGTATTTACTATAACATTGTATTTAAACATTTATTTACATATATAATTTAATTATTTTTTAAGTTATCATTTTAAAATATTTATAAATATGAAATATGTAGTTTATTAGAAAATATTTAATAAGTTAATTCTTATTTAATTAGTTCAAAATAATAAAAGTTTTAATTATCAATTCTTTTTAATCCTTCAAAATATAATTATTTTATTAATAAAAATTGATATATAACAAATAAGAATAATAAAATCTAAAACATAACACATAATAAAACCTAATAAAGATAAATTAGAAATAAAATAATATTAATTACTATTAAGATTGATGTAAAATATTTATAAAAAAGAAGAAAAATTAATTCTGTGTTTGTCAAATTCATTGAAAAGATTGAAAAAACAAATTGATTGAAGAGATTAAAAAAATGTGAAGAAGTCAAAGATAAGAAAATGAGAATAATATAATGAATTGGTTGATTTAAGAAATTGAAAAATACAGAGTGAAAAATGGACAAAAGAAAAGTGAAATATAAGAAATGACCTTATAAATAATGTGAAAAATAAAATAAAATATTTTTAAAATATTAAATTTTAGGATTTAAATTTAAATATAAAAGTTGGGCGAGGACGGGGATGAGGTCGGGGTGGGGATTATATTACTCATCTCTACCCCCACTCCTAAATTTTTAAAACGGGAAAAACCTACCCCCGTCTCTAGTAAATTCTGTTTTTCTCCGTCAAACTCGGGACGGAGACGGATCGGTTCTTACATGTATGAGTTTAATTGTCATCCCTTATTGTAATGGTTCAATTTTAATCGACATAGAAATTGTCTCATATTTAAAATTGACAAAATCACTTCCTATGTTGATTCAATATGTCGATTCAAAATTGAATAGTTATAAACAATAAGTTTTAATTACAAAATTGTCACCACGTAACTTGTTATGACAGATGAATTACAATCATAATAAAATATTATTTTTGTACTAGTGTGGGTTGACAGTAATATGTGACGCAGAATCATTATCATGATATAAAAATGTTGTATATTCGAAATTGACCTTGAAATTTTATAAAAGATAAGTTAATCATTGGATTTCATAAGTAATATTGGTTATTCCTCTATATTATGTTTTTCAAGAACTTTTAATATAGTATTTTGATTTCCATTAAATGCGAATGTTACCATGATGATTCTTGAAATTTATTATTGATCTCCTTAATTCACCACAAGTTTCTTAGTCATTGACATAGTAAGTCTTGAGTCAAAGAATGAAATTTTCTAGAAAAAACAAACCAAAGGTTGGTACTCCTAGAATTTTGAGTGTAATATTATATTTGGAAAAGACAAACCAATGCTTGGAATTGAGACAATTGTTGCAAAGGGAAGTTTTATTTGGTTGAGTGTTTGTGAGGTACGTTAACCTTCCTACTAGTATCTTGTATCCAAGAACATATGAATTTTTTTTTCAAATGTACATCCTAAAAGACTACTTTTGGTAACAATTTTAAGGTACACGTTCTTTTATTTACCATTTTTCTATCTTTGTTTTTTGCCACTTCTAACCTAATTTATTACAACACCCTCCCCTTTATATTATATTTTTATTATTTATTATATTTTCGAACTTTGAATTATTATTAGATTAAGGGAATTGTCATTGGCGGGATTCGAACCCAGTACTCAGAGTTGGAGGTCGATACTTCAACCACTAAGCTATTAAGATATTTTGATAATAATTTACAAATAAATTATATTTATATTTATCAGTGTAAATATATAAATATAAAATATATTTATATTTTGATATATTTATATATTTATATATTTGTATTTATATATTTGTATTTATATATTTGTATTTATATATTTATATATTTATATATTTATGTATTTATGTATTTATGTATTTATGTATTTATGTATTTATGTATTTATGTATTTATGTATTTATGTATTTATATATTTATGTATTTATATATTTATGTATTTATATATTTATATATTATATATTTATATATTTATATATTTATATATTTATATATTTATATATTTATATATTTATATTTATGTATTTATGTATTTATGTATTTATGTATTTATGTATTTATGTATTTATGTATTTATGTATTTATATATTTATATATTTATATATTTATATATTTATATATTTATATATTTATATATTTACACGAATAAATATAAGTATAATTTAGTTGTAAATTATTAGTAGAATATCCTAATAGTTTAGTGGTTGGAGTATTAGTTTTTAACTTTAAGGTACTAGGTTCGATTCTTACTAGTGACAATTCTTTTAGTTTAATATAATTTACCTACGGATAGTAATTCCGTAGGTAATTACCTACGAAATTACCCACGGATGATATTACCTATGGATAATATCCGTAGGTAATGGATAATTACTCATGGATAGAATTCCGTAGGTAATATCCGTAGGTAATGTACAATTTACCTACGGATTTTCATCCGTGGGTAATATCCGTAGGTAATGTAAAATTTACCTACGAATTTGTATCCGTAGGTAATATTCCGTAGGTAATAGGCTTTTTTTTTGTAGTGTGGAGGGAAATCATTGTGTGAAAGGTATGTAAGATTGAAATAGTGGTGAGAAATTGGGATTGAACGGGACAAAAAACCTGTTTGCATAGCCAATACACTAGAAAGGTTTTGTGTTCCTCAATGATCACGATAATGGTGGGGTTATCGACAAAATACTTGACCAAAAAATAGTCGTATGTTTTCTTGTCCCATCGAATTCTTGCCTCGAGCTCATTATCAGAGGGAAAATGGACAAAAAATATGTTTCTCCTATAGGTTTGAGACTTGTAATAGCGACGATGTCAAGAAAAGTGGGGCAACTGGACCACAAGGTAGCTCTAGTGGATTGAGGTCTTTGTCCCATATATGGATTGCGGGGAAGAACATGGACATATCAAAATATGATACATCATAGTGGGAGAATTTGAGAAGATCGAAGATATCAATCTTCTTCCAATGATTGTCGAAAGTGGCTTCAACT